ATCTTTAAGCATTAATGAAAAGACCCTTATTCATAATAAAAATAAGTAAAAATAATAGAGAAAAATCATTGATGAAGGAGAGATATACTATAGAAGGAAAATAAATTAAGAAACATCTTTAAGTTTTATTTAAAGCTGAATGAAGAGATGAAGATAATCTTGTAAAAAAAAAAAAAAAACTGTTAGAAAACTACATTGAAAAGCTTTGCAACAAGCATATGAATCATCATCATTATAAATTTGGGTATCAATATTAAAATTACAATGATCAATGCAATACTGACTCAAAGTCATATGGTGCCCTTGGGCCAATAAATGATGCAATTTACAAAAATTTTATTTCATTTTTTTTTAATTATTAATAAAACAATAAAACAAAAAATTAAAAATTNGCTAGAGAATCTATTAAATCTAATATAAGAGAGTTAATTATATTGAACTCGCTTATTTATTAAGTGCATTAGATATATTCTATTCATTAAAAATACATTTAGAGAAGTCTACGGTTTTTACTGGCTTATCGAACAAACGAATACGAATGGACTGTAGACCATCGCTGACTGATTGCCCCTGGAAGTCGGCTTGTTACAAAAACACAGCTTCCCTATCATCAAATGCCACGGCACGCCACTGAAAGATAATAAATAATATAGGTACAGTACACATACAAAAAATAGTATCTAGTTATTAATTTCGTAATAACACTTAAGCAATTTACAAATTCGAGTTACGTAAAGGTCTACGGTTCGCATTACTTACGGCATTACTTACGTAACTCGGGATATTACGGTATTCAAGTCCCGACCGTTTGAAAGCCAGTCAAATTTCATTATATTTAACTTATAATCATTCACTAATATTAGTTTTTCAGACAGGAAAACTGTCGTGCAGAAGAGAACCACACATTTTCAAAATTACTACCATAAAGTAGAAAAGAAGAATATTAACCAAAATGCTGATCACTGTAAACTATGGAATAGAAACTTTGCTTCAGTGAAACCAAGTAAATTTTAGCCTTGTTCAATTATATAAATGTTTTTTAAAAACAAAAAATTTTTAAACATGTGAACGAGATTAAGAAAAACCTGGTGAAAACCAACATCACCAGTGAAGGCTAAGTGCTGTTCAGTGCCATGTTGGGAAATTTTAACTGTAAATATGTACATTTTAAAAAAGGATGTGTATTGTTTAGCACCTCTTTACTAAATGTCTTAAAGAAAAAAATATGTTGTAATTTACCATTATATAAAAAATTTTGTAATACGGAAAATGTATGTTCGTATTCTATTATGTAACCAACAGAAGAAGGGTGTATGTCCAAAATGCATATCGGTGTGTAAGATATTCCTGAATAAAGAGTGATATTAAAGATGCCCAATGTCTACCTATGTACCCAGTTGTAAAGTAAAAAATAATTAAAAAAAGACATGGTTTTGGAATAAGTCAGTAATANAAAAATATCTAATAAAAATTGTACAATACAGTAGCAAATAGTTTTTTTTTCTTATATTCTTGAAAGCAATAAGTTTAAAGACAGAGATTTGGCTAAATAATTCTGTGAAATAAAATATTATAACAATTAATTATTTCTTAAGCTAATTATTAATAAAACAATAAAACAAAAAATTAAAAATTTTCAAAACACAACTTATAATTCTTTATATTGCTCAAGACTAGTTGCATCACACCAAATTGATAATATACATGCGTATGTATTTACTGCATTTTATAATTTTATTTTTGTATCTTGTACCTACATTGTATAATATATTACTAGATTGAGAGAAAAATACTAATCAAATACCTAATAGATTAAATTATAATTTTGTAGGCTTTTGTGGTTGCAAAATTTATTATCAACATTTCCAAATCAAGCTCATTTATCAAATCTGTACAATGTTTTAGTTTATAGTCATCCAATGTCTTGAATTGATTGAAATTCCACAGAACATTGAAATTACTGTTATTTTTAGTCAAGCAGGAACATAGGAAATAAGAAAAATATTTAACATTAATTTCAAACTGAATAAAAAATTTTTCAAATTTCAGCAAATCTTGGCACCACTAAGCTTTGGCATCCCTAAACTGAGCTCTAGACCTAGAGTTGATCTTGAATCAATGATAAAAAAAATTCAATGTTTCCCAGTGAACATTCAAATGCTGAATAACTAATCCAATAATTTCTCTTTTTATTCCAACTTGTATTTTTAAGCTATTCTTTTATTTAATTTAGTTTTAGATTGTAAAATTGGATATCCTAGAGACTGTAATCATCAAGTTATGCAATTTCTGGATTAACATTTAAAAACTATCGTTTATCAGATTTATATTTATAAATAAAGTGATTAAAATATGGAATTTCCATTCTAGAATAACTTTTCTTTGTTAATCTATCTGAGTAATTATAACCATGACAGATTAAGAAAAGATTCAATTACCTTCATTTATATAAAGTTATAACTGATAAATGTGTTTTATAAATACAGTAGAACCTCGATTATCCAGACTAATTGGGGATGAAGGTAGTCCGGATAAGGAAAAATCCGGATAATCAAAACAAATAATTTGTCTTTTAATGATAATACAACATGTTTTCTTTTCGATGACATATCAGTAATATTAAAAGTAAATACTGTATTTAAATCGTGATCAAATTTTCAAGAAACAAACGTTCGTATTGAATTTGGACTACTACTGACCCAAGGTCTTAGACCTTACTACTGACCAACGCTAATAGACTACCTATTGTTTAAAAGGCCCTCTGGTGCGCAAGAAGCCGGATTTTATAAAATAAAAAGCAGTTGAAACTGCATTTTTATGAATAAAAATTTGACAAACTATTTATCGTTTTATGACGAGTAAAATTTTTTTGTCGCATTCGCAGTTTTTAAGTAATGGATAAACCTTCGAAACGCAAGGCTCTTCGGACTGTGAGGCATAGGCGGTGGCCCACGTTGCCCATGCCTTTCGCCGCCCTTAGTCATAAAAATGATGTAATTTGAATATAAATTATTTATAAATACGTATGTCAAGTTATATTTTTATTACTACGTAAATTATATTTAAGAGTTTATGACCACTGTGCTGGGTGAGACGTTGTTGAAACAAAAAAAGTTATGCATTCCATCACGTACATAAACAGTGTCGTAATTCGCCAAGTGCAAATCAGCAAGTTCGTAAAATTTTTGTTTATTTTGAACAATCCGGATAATCGAAAATCCGGATAATGGAGGTTCTACTGTATATAACAAAATAACTCAATTCTACTCAAAGATTTTTTGCAATTAGCATTTATGTTAAAAATGTCTAGATGCATACTGGAATAGATTTTTAAAAAAGTATATGAAGATAATATTAGTATGGCAACGGAAATATTTTTAATATTATTTCTATTTTTTGAAGCAAAAAAAAAAAAAATGATTATATATACAATAAATTAAAATATAAAATATAAGTATATTCCAATTTTTAATAATTAAATTGTTAGAATATAGTATTAAAATATTTAATAATTAACTTAAATTACTGTACAAATAAGTTAGCTAAATCTGAATAATTCAATAAATTACTACTGTTAAAAACTTGAATAAAAATAAAATTTTGTTTTAACTCAAAAATTTATTTACTTTGGACCATCCATTAATTACATGTAGGGTTTTTGAGTCACTTTTGACCCCTTCCACATTATTGCATACAATGGTATACTATTCTATGTGCAGTAAGCTAGAACTTTTCTATGGCAAGTTTCAGACACCTTTCTCACTTTTCTAGTAATTTCTTTAATTAAATCAAAAAACTAACGTTTTCGTCTATAAATGGCCTTCAGCTTAAGCATAATTGGAACATCAGTTAGAATATAAATTAAAAATAGCCGAAAACGTTAGTTCTTTGATTTAATTAAAAAATCGCTAGAAAAGAGAGAAAGGTGTCTGAAACTTATTAATGGTATACTTTTGGAAAATTCCTTTCCCTTTAATTACATGTACATTAGTTCATGGGCACAGAAAGTGTTAGGGTAGAATGAGGATGGATGGTGGAGAGAATTTTTTACGTCATTTCTTCAATAAGTCCTGACATTGAAGAGATGACTTTAAAAAATCTGCAAATATTTTCTATATGACTAGTAAGTATGCTTATAAGAACAAATTTATATGCCACAAATACCACTAAAAAGTTCAGAAACAATGCCTTAATCATAGATTGCACCTGAAGGATTGGCAGATACTTCTAATGAATCTTTGAAACAGATTCTTATAACTTATGACTGTAGCATATCAATAGATCCTTGGTTGTTCATGTCTGCTCTTTATATCCTTCTAATACAGCAAAATTTAAAAAGTGAGAGGGGGCATGATGCTTACATTTTCAAAACAGTAGTTTGTCATGAGTACACATATCTATTGTCATCTTTTTTGATGGAAATGTGAATCACCACTGGTCAAAAATGACTTTTGGTAAACAATGGGATTCTGCTAGGAGTTTGTGAACTACCAAATATTGAAATTCAAGTACTGAATCTCAAGTATTATGTGAAAATCGTTTCAAATAATATGATTTTTGATTAATCCAGATGACATAAAATTATAATTTATATGTTCAGTGTGTTCTACATTAATAAAGTTTACTCATGTTTAATCATACTTTTTTTTTATCAAGCAGCATTCAAAATGAACAGAACTAGCCTGTATTACCACTGCCAAGCTGTGAGGCTTACTGGCAGGATTTGTATTCATCCAAACTATCATTAATTCCTTCTTTTCATCATACACAGTGATGTAATTTTTATGACTCCTCTTTTCCTTAAACTGTATGCACAATTAATAGATAGTCCCTTCAAAAATATTATATTACTTTGCAGCTAATCTAAGATATATAGATTCTTCAAAAGTTTGGATATAAACAGGGTTTGGCTCAATATTGATAAATTTATAAATAAAATTATAAATTAATTATAAATTTCTATCAGAGAAATATTAAAAAGAAAAAAGAAATTCACTTACAGAAGCAGCATTAACATAGTCATTTTCTCCTAAAGTATATAACAACATTTTCACAGCCATTTTTAGTATACTCATCGTTAATCCATGCATACTTCCACTTCTGTACATAGAAAATAAAGAAATTAATATTTTCAAAAATCATATTTATAAAAAATTTATTTTCAACTTCATCAAAAAATATAGAAGAAATACTATCCAAACAATATTCAGCAAAACTCAAAACAAAAACTGAAATTATACAATTTTATATTTGTATGAATCCATTGTGAATGCATAAAGCAAAATGCTTTTGTATTAAGACTTATATTATTACACAATACCATTTTGTTACAGAAATTATCTCTCTATTCTATCGCTGGCTTTGTATAGAAATGGCTTGGAAGTGACTTAGAAGATTAAAAATAAATAATGGTGAATAGTTAACAGGAAGGATTGTCAGGTCTTACATTTTTCTTGTAAGCTTTATGTTTTTTACTTGCATTTTATGGCTTACATTTTTTTGCCTATAAGATGATTTCTTTTTTTTCCCTCCTCTCACATCCATATACATCAAAAGATTTTATTTTAAAACTCCCAGAATATTGTAATTACAATGGCATCACATTGATAGTTTTGTTTGATTACATTTGGTATCAAACTTTTTGTATTTTGAAGTTGGAGATTCACAGCTGTATTATACTTTTTGTTCCCTTTTGGATGTAATATTTCCAGTATTTTGAATATTGCTTTGAATGTTAGGATACATGTGGTGTGAGAGAACTGATAAATGGCACTCCAAATTGGAAGACAAAAAGAGGTTTGATTTTACTGTCTGTACAATGTGAATACGAGAACAAGAATAAAGAACACGTGGCAGTGTTGCCAGTGTTGTAAGTATATAATACATCCTGGTGGTGGTGTCACAGCTATAATTTGGCTATGGGAGGGCGGTACATCTCTGGTGAGAGGGCATCTTTGTAGCATTGAAACATGAGGTAGGCTTGCCATCCATGAGAGCTCATGAGACCTTTTGTAATTAACAATAAAATTGTTATGTTGTTAAAGGCTTAGATTATAATAAAATAAAATCCTATTGATCACCAGGCTTAGATTAATTGTGAATACAGAAATATTAACATGCAAAAATAATGCAACAGGTGGACTGTTGCGTTATTTTTGCATGTTAATATTCAGCATAACAAAAATTAAATATTTTTCTTTAACAAGAATTAATAATTTAATCCTTATACTAGTTCAAAATGAGTAATCAATCCAGTACTCCAGTATAGAAAAAGAAGAAATTACAGTACAGTCAAGTATATTTGAAAAAGTGGAAAGAGGCTTTTAAGTGGTTGGCTCCTGAACTCTCAGATAATTGTGCCTACCATAAACTGTGCAATAAAGACATCATCATCAGCTATGGCAGACAGTTTGATGTAAAATAGCATGCCCAGTAATAAGTAACAAATACTAATTATTTTACCAAAACAATAAAATTATCTTGCATAGTTTAGAAAATTTAACACATTCTTATTTAATAGTTCACAGCTTTGTTTAAAACTTGCAATTTGTTTGAATTTAAAAAAGACTAAAATTATTGCAAAAGTTAAAAATTATTTTTTTTTCAAAATACAAATTTAGATGTTCATTTTCTCTAATATAGCACTTTTACATTTGATAACTCATCAATTAAATTTTGTATATGAAAAAATATCTAATAAAAATTGTACAATACAGTAGCAAATAGTTTTTTTTTCTTATATTCTTGAAAGCAATAAGTTTAAAGACAGAGATTTGGCTAAATAATTCTGTGAAATAAAATATTATAACAATTAATTATTTCTTAAGCTAATTATTAATAAAAATTCTACATACAAACTAATATATTAATTGAAGCTTTTAACAGGAATCATTATTATTCAGTACTGCAACACATACAAATTTATTAATCATTATCAGAAAGTGTATTATTAGATATATCAATACAATTCCTGAGTAAGACCATCATTTTTCCTCTCTTTCATTCTAGAAATTATTCTTTATTCTGTGTCCATGTCCATCAGAATACTCTCCTTTGGAGATCAAGACATAACTTTTGGACTAGTAGCTAATAAGCAGACAGTGTCAGCAGAGAAGACAATGTGGTGCTCAGTTCAAGACACTGGCAACACATTTAAGAAAGTAAGTTTGAGAGAAAAGTAAGACTGAATAGACAATTGGAAAGACAGCATAACCACTGAATCTTTCAGATCAGTTGTGTTTATCTCAAGAAAAAAAAAACTTTCTGATAAACTATTTAACTTTTTTAATAATTCTTTCCTTTCTTCTTTTTTCCCACCTCTTGAAATGGGGATAAATCTAGATATAGCTGGTGAATTACATTTGTAAAACTTGAATCTTTATTATTGTGACATTGTCACAATGTCAAGCAGTAATTTTTAATTTAAAAAAAAAATAAAGTGACTTCTGGTCCAGTCCAGAAGTTCATACATAGTTTATTGGAGACTCAGTCCCTAAGCTTTCCATATCTGGTCTCAATTTTCATCTATCTAACTCCATTCTCAAGATTAATGAAAGACAGATAGATGGATTACAGTGAAAATGTATAGGTCTGCAATTTAAAAATTGCAGCCCAATAAGTACAAAAAACCACAAATATGTATTCATGACTTTCTGTACTTTTATTATATTAAATTAAATGATTTATAAAACTGATTTTTATACCATTACAAACTGTAGTTCATTTGCAGTATTCTCCACACTATATTGTTTGGCAATATTTATTACACTTGGGAGAATGCTGTTCTCTATTAAAAGCTCCAATTAGAACAATATATTGGTTGGCTTTTTTCATATTATTTATGTTTAATTAACTACAGTATTTAAATTATAAAAATTTTAATACGTACATGTCAATTAAAATTAGCATTGTTTTTGGTGAACTGGATCCATGAATAAACCTTTACAAATAAAAAAAAATTTGTTATAAATCATTGTAAAAAATTTATAACTTGAACTAAATATATAACATTAATGTATGGGTGAAACTTTGGATCTTACAAAAAAAATGTTCACAGAATAACATTCAATGTATATCCCATACATCTGACAATATCTATACATCATCTGTTAACTATACAACAAAAGAAAACATATATGCATAATAATAAAATTTAATCAGCATTGCCTTTATGAGGAATAACAGGTAATAACATACAACTATAATTAATTTTTTACAATCTCATTTCAGTAACTAGTTCATTCTTAGTTAGTTACAGTGATGCATATGGTGCAATTGCAGCAATAGAACTCAAACTTGATAAGGTAATTTGACAGACTTAAAAAGAAAAATATTACTTAAAACTCAGAAAAGATTTTCCAAATTTTTTTTATATAATTTATTTTATTGAACCGTATAATTATTTAATTATATTTTATAAATTGAGGAATAGTTAAAATATACTATTGTGTAATAAAAATTATTGCTGTGACAGTTGGTCAATGTAACTGTCTCCAAACAAGTATACATTTTTAAATAAAAATTTTATAAAACTATATATTTTATCATATTTGTTCTATTTTAATTTAATTTTTTTAATCTTTTTATTCACTTAAAAAAATTTATAGTACAGGTAAACAGATTATTATTTATCTATACTATATTGTTATATTCGTGGAAATAACGATAACTCGTAAACGTATATAACTAGCTTTATTAACATAAACGTAACAATGAGTGAACAACGTATCGTCCTGTCCAGGTCTAGGGGTTACAAAACAACTAAAGACAACTCGTTGAGACAAAGAACATACACGAGGTCGGAGGTGTGGGGTGACCTAAGTAGGTCAAGGGGCGATTCCCGGTAGCGGTCATCCCCTGGCGGTTTACATACATAACATATATTATCATATTATTTTATTCTTTATTTCACAACAGATTGCATAGGTAGACACTGGGCATCTTTAACATCACTCTTTATTCAGGAATATCTTGCACACTAATACATGTTTTGGTTCATACATTCCTCTTCCATCGGCTACATAATAGAATAAACATATATTTTCCACATTACAAACTTTTTTTATATAACATGCCTTTTTCTTTAAGACATTTCATTCTAAATAATACACATCCTTTTTTAAAATGTACATATTTACAGTTAAAATTTCCTGACAGGGCACTGAACAGCACTTCGCCTTCACTGGTGGTGTTGGCTTTCACCAGGTTTTTCTTAATCTCATTCACATAAAAAAAAAACAAAAAAATTTTTTAACAACATTTATATAATAAAATATTCTTTTTTATATTTATCTATTGTACTTTTTACATAAATTTATATTATTACATTTTTTACTGAATTTTTGCATTTTTCTTTTACTTATCTTCTAATAAACATATTAATAACTAATCTTTTCTTCCTTTTATAATTAACTTATTTATACTTCTTTATAATATTTTTAACCAGTTTTTGTGCAATGATTCATTGCATAATAAATAATTGCAATATTAACAGAGAAGTAAGGATTTATTTTACACAAAGAAAAAAATTGGTACAATAAAAAATTTAGAGTTTTGAAATTATAAAAAGTCAAAAAAATAATATCAATAAAAATTTAAATGTAAAAATTAATGAAAACTGGTTTAAAATATTATAACGAAGTATAAATAAGTTAATTATAAAATGAAGAAAAGATTATATTAATATGTAAATTAGAAGATACGTAAAAGAAAAATGCAAAAATTCAGTAAAAAATGTAATAATATAAATTTATGTAAAAAATACAATGGATAAATGTAAAAAAAGAATACTTTATTATATAAATGTTTTTTAAAAACAAAAAATTTTTAAACATGTGAACGAGATTAAGAAAAACCTGGTGAAAACCAACATCACCAGTGAAGGCTAAGTGCTGTTCAGTGCCATGTTGGGAAATTTTAACTGTAAATATGTACATTTTAAAAAAGGATGTGTATTGTTTAGCACCTCTTTACTAAATGTCTTAAAGAAAAAAATATGTTGTAATTTACCATTATATAAAAAATTTTGTAATACGGAAAATGTATGTTCGTATTCTATTATGTAACCAACAGAAGAAGGGTGTATGTCCAAAATGCATATCGGTGTGTAAGATATTCCTGAATAAAGAGTGATATTAAAGATGCCCAATGTCTACCTATGTACCCAGTTGTAAAGTAAAAAATAATTAAAAAAAGACATGGTTTTGGAATAAGTCAGTAATAATATTTTTAATTTAAAAATACATATAATTTTATATTAAGTGTTGGAAAACTGAGACCTGAGCAGAATACATTCAATAATCTAGTTATCTACAGAAAATTATTTATTTAAGAATTTTTTCAAAACAAATGGAAGTAATAAAAAGTGTTTTATGTAAATAATGCAAATTAATAGAATTCAATTTTTTTACATTTATTTTCTAAAACAATTCAACTATAAGTTATAAATTTAAATTTATAACTTATAGTTGAATTTCTACTTAATTAAATAATTTTTTTACAATACTTTTCAATAATTTCTATAATATATTTCATTAATAATATGTATATTTACAACAATATGTACTGCACATCTGACATGCTAGTTTAAGCTATTGGTTTCAGTATAAGCAGTAATATTTATATGATTATCATAATATGAACATGTAAATGTATATATAGTTCTTACCATGGTCTTTGTCTTACATCAAATAGATCAGGCTGAATATCAGTCCAGCTGTTAGCTATGAAATTCAATTTAGAACATATACATTCAGAATTTAATATAAAATGTTTTCAAATAATACAAAGTACAGTAGATTAACAAAAATCTATTCATATTTTAACTTCTATGAGATAAATCCTTTTATCAAAACAAATCTAATGTCTTTATTAAACTCTGAATGAAATATAATATTAATTAAAATAAGAATTAGAGTAAAATATCAAATTTTTAGGAATAATTTGCATACATATAATGTAAAAAAAATAAAGAACATAAATAAAAGATATTTAATTTAAGCAGAATAATAATGTTTTCATTGAATAGGATTTAATTATTTTATTAAAAAAAAATTCAAAAGGCAATTTATGTTTTTAAAAAACTAAATTAATATCAAACTAACATTTTTTTATTATTTCTGTTATTAAAAGTTATAAAATAAAAGTTTCCAAAATAGATTTTTCAGCTGTATTGAAGTTAATTTAAATCATAAATGAGCAATTATTTATTGTGACATTATAACAATGTCAGGCTGCAATTTTTTAGATCTTGATACATCATGCAATTGATTTTAGCAGTGTCTTGCCCCTGTACCTGTACATCATACTTTTTCTGTTAACAAGAGTGTCTTGCCAGTCGTCTAACTCTGTTCTGGAGAAAATATTTGAATTGTAATAAAGTGACTTCTAGTCTAAACTGAAAGTTTGTATATAGTTAATTGGGTCCCTGGTTCCTAAGTTTTAGATATGTGGTTTGACTTTCATCTATCTAATTCTGATCTAGAGATTAAGGAAGGGCAGAGAAACAGATAAATGCTGGTGGGAATTTATAGATATGCAATTTTAAAATTACAGCCCAATAACTACTGTAACTATTAACATTAAAAGTGTTATTTTCATAAGATTTGGATAATTAGAATTCATATAATGATTTAGTAATGACATTTATGTTAGGAATTCCTCTGAGAAATCAATTATAAATTTGTAAACCATATTTTTATAGCTGAATAAAGAATATGAATTTTTTTTTATAGAATCAATGATCACTTCTAATTTCTTTTACTTTTAATTCTATTTCTCTTTTCTTAAATTCATATTATATGTGGATATGATAAAACATTTACACAAAATAGAAATTATTTGTGTTTTGATAAAGAATTCATACCAGTAATCACATAAAGGATAGACAATTGCCATATGATCTGAAGTATGAAACATGAATTTAACAATTGTGAATAAATGTGAATGCATTCATGTACAGTACAGTCTATTCCATTTAATTGGGACACATTGGGATTAATCCATTTTGGCCCAATTAAGTGGCTGCCCGAATTAAACTATTAATAAAATGTAAAATAAAATATGTAATACATAAATAAATAAATAAGTAAAAAATAATAATCAGGTACTGTACCTATTTTAATGCTTTATTAAAACAAAATACAGAAAATATTTGTACTATAAACTGTGCAGAAAAAATAACCCATACTGCACATGATAAATTTTACAATTCCAAATTTTAATTCTACAAAAATGCATCAATAGTAGTGTCTTTTGCTTCTGAAATTTTGCAGTCCTACAAAGTTAGCACATATATTCAGTGCAGATGTAGGGCTTCCTTTGTTACCTTCCTGTATAAAATAATGCTGTAACACACTATAAATTTTTTTGCCTCACAATTTGTCACAAGCACAGGTGGGTTATCATCCTCATCATCTTTTTCTTTGTCAAATTTTTGACGTTTGGATTTAATGATGTCAACACTTGTAACCTCAAAGTTTTCATTTTCATTATAACATGATAAATTGTCATCTATTGTTGACAATTTTTCATTGTTCATGATAGGAACTTGAAGTATGCCTTCATTTTCCTCACTGCTCAAAATTTCAGAAACATCCAAAGGTTTTAATTGCAAATAGCAAAGTAGTTTTGTATTGTGCTGCTTTTTATAGCTCACCAACTGTCAGCAACAAACTGTATGGCTTGCAAAATGGAAATTTTTGCACTGATCTTTCTGACTGTTGAAGAACTTGTCAATAAGTTTTCATCAATGGATTCCAGTATGTAATTAACCAATTTTCCTCAATACAACTTTAAATTTTTTATTACCTCCATGCCCATCAGTTGCACTAAAGATGTTGTATTAGAAGGAAGAAATTCCAGCCTTATACAAATATAAACACCAACCAAAACCTGATGCATAGTAAATAGACACCCACAATTGCCATAAATAATTGAGATATAATTTAGAAATATTAAGTATATATATAATTAAGAATAGATATTATTATAATAATTATTAATTTTAATATGAGATGGCACCTAACGTCTTCCTCTAGTGTCAAATTCATTTGTAATTCTTAATTAATATTTCCAAATTACAGACAGATTATTTATGGCAGTTGTAAATGTTTTCCAACCTTATATTTTTTTACATTATCTAAATGAGGGTGTGCAGAACAATTATTGAAAAGTAACAAAATTTTCCTTTGGTTATTTTTTGTAATTCTATGTCCCAACTCATAAGACAATTCCAAAAAATTTTACAAGTCATCCATGCATTACTATTGGCATGGTACTCTACTGGTAAACACTATTCTTATCCCCTTAAAGTATCGAGGCTTAGCACTTTTTCCTAGAATTAATAGTTTTCGTTTGTTGGTACTTGACATATTTGCACAGCATAACACAGTAATGCAGTCCATTGCCCTTTTATACCCTGACAGTGCAATGTGCTTATAACACAGGGAGCCATCTGGCATGGCACAATAATAGAGGCCTGTTTCATCAGCATTGTAAATATCAACTACACAGAAATTCTTTAAAAAAGTAGGTATTTTAGTTCTTTGCCATTGTTCAGTACTTACATTATCTGCATTGCCCTTTTTTCCATGCACTTTTTTGTATTTAATGTTGTGTCTCATTGTGAAAGTTTGCACGAAATTGAAATTTACCACAAAGGCAGACAGTAAAAATAAGGATACAGTAAAAATAATAATTGATATATTTTTACAAGTAAACAATTTTGCGTATATATAGAGATTCTTCTTTGGGAATTCCAACATCACGATATATTATAATAGTATGCAAAGTTACCACTAGGACAATAGTTCATTATATCCAAATGTGCAGTACCAATCATAATAATATAAAGCCTGATCTTAAAACTAATCTTATACACTAACTTAACAATAATGGAAGAAAAGGATAGAAACAAGAGGATGAAAAAATAATATACACAATAGAAACAGGGATACCTGGGATTTTGTTTAGCATATTTGCACTATGCTTACTGCTGGGTGGGATACCACACAATATTCTACAAAAATTTGACTCGTCTTCTTCTATACTTAAGATTTTTCCTTTCACTGTTGTTGATTCTATCTTAAAACAGGACTACTTCTTTTAACATCTTCCAAGATCTCTAGTCATTGCTAACGTGACTGAACGTTCTCTTCATGTCCATATACTTTGCAGTCCAGCAAGAGAATGCCTTGTCCGTTGTCTCTTTTGTCCTCAGGGTCCTGTTCACTCTTTGTTCTTCAGATTTCTCAGAACTAGTCATTCCACCCAAGGGACAGGGATTTAGATAAGAAATAGATAAGAAAGTTCTAGAAGGAAATAGAACAATAGGACAAAGGGTAGAAAGAAGAGACTAAACTAAACTAAAATTAATATTCACAAAAATATAGCGTACAGCTACATCGTTTTCCATCGAGACAACCAACCATCAGTTGCTTTAAAATCATTGTGGATCAGTTTTTTAGCAATCTCCTCTGACTTCACCTTCAACAACATACCACTGATATTTATGCCTCATCCACTAACTATAGAAAACCATTGATCTAATGCTTCTTCAACTTCTGGATCCTTTTCATCATGCTTTCTTTTGGATGTTCCTGGAATTTCTTTCTGTAATGCCACGGTTGATTTTCTTGTTGTAGGAGATGCACAATGATAGATTTTGGTACCAGTTATATCAGCAAGTCTATGATGGCTTGCATTCAATGGCTGACTTTTAATTTTATCCAGCAAAGCAATTTTACTTGAAAGTGTAAAATTATTTCTTAGCACCTTTACAAAAATTTAAGAATTTTAAATAAAATCGACACTGCAACACTTTCCATAGAAACTAGCTTTCTTCCAACTTGGTTGAGAGACCTCAAAAAATTGTCTAGGGTGTTTGTCCCTTCACTTTTAAAAGGGATCATACATCCCAACAATGGTCCAATCCAAAGCACGATCAGTAGCTCTCATTCAGGTCTGTCTCAGATAGGATCCCTGTGTGATATGTCCCAATATGCTGACCTGCCTCCAGAAAAACTGAACCACCCAAGCAAAAGACCACCACCCATTGCTTTATCTCCATTAAGCATTAGGCCTACATGACATTAATGTATGTACTGTTAATATATTATTGGACAATACCTAAAATATATCAAAAATTGCTAAATTCCGTTTCTGCTACTGTCCCAATTAAGCATTTAAATTATGCATTAGTTATTAGTATGGTTTCCATTCTTTGAGATTTGGCCCAATTAAGCAGAATTGACTGTATTACATAATTCAATAAAATATTTTAATTTTTAATATTGTAATATATATATTAAATTAAAAAACATCAGTCTGCATCTAAAGAAGTTATCAGATATTAATATAAAAAATAGCATAACTTATTCTATTCAAATAGAATTACAACAGTAACAAATTTTTAATGAAGTTTCAATAACACACATTTATCATATCTTTAAAGATCTACAAATAAATAAATATATATTACATATTTTGTGTATATAACCTACAGGCAATTTAAAAGGAGTGTGGGTTATGTGATGTGGCAGATTATACGACAATTTTAAATTGCAATTACAAACTCCCACATATTAAGTAATGGCTGTTCTTTAGATGCAGGATATGTGATTGGATAGGTTATGCAAAAGTTTTGTCTTCATTCTAGCAATTTTCAGTGGTATGTGCCATTGTATACACACAAAAATACACTGTATAGTTATACATACAAAAA